CTTAAAAGCAATGTCGAACTTTATTTTTTCTTAGCTCAACATTTGTTAGTTTCCTAACTTTAGCTCCTGAAGCGTAACTTCAATGATTCTTTGAGTTTACTGTGAATAAAATGACTTTAATATTCCAAGTTGTGCAGAATAAGGTTCAATGCAGCCGTTGCAGATATCTTTGAAATCAGTTTCTGTTTTAAGCTGTCTTCTTTCAGCCTCCATAAACTCTTATTCTTTGACGACTTCCATCATTTCAGGTATCGCTACGTATTAAAACAACCATTTATTTTACTTTAGATTTATGTAAAGAAAATCAAACTCTGTGGATTTTGTTTCAGTTTCTTTCCATTTAGGTTTCACAAATGGAAGAACAAGAAAACAACATGRTTTTCTTTTTGCAATTTTATTTTGAAACAGAAAAAACAAAGAATGAACCATGCACGCATTCTTGTCTTTGTTTTAAATGTAAAAACAAAGAAAGAAAGAAAGCAACATAGCTTTTTTTAAATTTTGCAATTGCTGTTTTTTAAATTTAGTTTCTTTAGATTTCTCTTTTATTTTGAAAAAGAAAAACCAAAGAACGAACCATACATGAGTTCAGTTTAATGGTTGTAAAGTTAATAAAAACAGAGTCCAGTCGTCACATCTCATAAACTTATATTTAATTCACAGTGGAATGTAATAAATGTTAAATATTTAGCAGTTTTTAATAACAAATAAGATTATTGACTGTTTTTGATTCAGATTTAAATGTCATAATTATAAATATTTTAGAAACACTTGATAAAAGAGGAAACATACCTGTTTGTTTGAACAGGTTCTATAAAAGTAACTCAGGTGTGTTTTTATTTGTCTCTTTGTTTGTTTGTTTGTTTGTTGTCCCACAGCTCTGAGTCGGTGCGGCGCCGCAGCGACATGTTCTACCTTCAGCCGAGGCGCCGCTGCGTCCCCAGCAACCCGCTGTGGTTCTCCATGACGCCGCTGGACGACGCCACCATGGAGGCCATGATCGTTCGAAGCCTCGCCGTCCGACAGCAGAGGTGAGACGGACCACCTGCTGGGGGACGCTTCAACACTTCTGTCACTTCAAAAACTACGTATCATTAACACAACGGTCAGTTCAAACTTTTTCACACCATGTTWAGATTTTTGTTCAGCCTGGATGGTTATAAAATAATAAAACTTCAGGTTTTTTTTTGTATTTTTCTAGAAACTGAATGTTTCATTTTCAACAGATTTTGATCAGATCAGGTTTATAACTCGCTGCTTCTGTTGTCTTTATTAAATGTTTGAAAAGTTTTTTTTTCAACTTTTCTCTGCAGCATCAATAAAAACCTACAAATTGTTTAAAGGTTTGTTTTTTATTGTGAAAGTTTCACAATCGTTCACGATATTCAGGTCATTTTTTTACTCCGKATGTTTCTTGAACCGTAACTCGTTCTGCAATTTTTGTGCTATTTGATTAATTCATACATCAAAACGTTCAGCTCCTTCAGGACATTCAAGCTCTGACTTTTGGTGTTTCAGCTGTTWATACTTTTTTAGCTACTTCACTTTTTCAGCCACATTTTTCCCATTTAAAATGAATGGAGCTGTTTTCAACAAAGTGTTTCCAAATCTTTAGTTTTTCTGATTTTTCTAACTTCCTTCTGCTGATTTTAGCTTTTTTCTGCTATATCAGCTATATTTCAGCTTCTTTCTGCTATTTTCTGCAATTTTGGCTAATGTTCAGCTGTTATTAGCTTTTTTGAGCTAAATTCACATTTTGGTGGCTATTTCAGCTTCTTTCTGC